ACTGTTTAGTGCTTGAAATATTTGCTAAAATTGACTGGAAATACTTAGAGATTTCATCGTAGAATGGCCTAGTTATATTTATTTGCTCTTTGACTAAAATGTTTAGCTGTATTATTGCTAAACATGCATTTTTGAGAATTTGGTTTGCAACTAGGTTTCAACGCCATCATCCCATTGAAAACATTAGGTCACGTCAGCTAGTTTCATAGCCATGTATTTTATTATCCATGGTCGTACATAAAACTATTTTTCATGCTATTTGTACGTGGTTTTGGTAAATAAAGACCACTTGAGACATCCCGAAGGTGATAATTAGTTTTGTCACTCTTAAACGAAAATAGATTTGTGAGTGATTTGGGGCCCATTTTGTTTAATAACTTATACATCATTCTTGCTTTAGTTTTCTTCCTTTCAGTTTGGAGTGGCTCCCAGCCCAAACTACGTAAAGCAATCGTATAATCTACGTCGTTGCTTATATTCAGAATAATTCTTGCCGCTCTATTTTGTAGTTTTTGCAGTCGTTTTGATTGAGTTTCACCAAAAACTTCTATCTATCTATCTATCTTCCAGTACAGCACACCCCTCAGTATGAGGATTATTTACTGGGGTCAGCAGAATACATGTTGCTAACCCAAAGAAAAAGTTGATAATAATAAGCTATTTAAAGTTAATATGATAGAAAGTTAAATAATAGCAGATAAAAAAAAACAAAAAACAAAAAAAAACACTAAAAACAAAAACACCCTAGAACGGTCCCGAGCCGAGATCGGAGATCAGGAGCTCCGCCAGAATGCCCGATCGCCACGTAGGCACAGTCACCAAGGGAAATTGAATTTGTCTGGTAGCATGTGCGTTATTGACGATCAAACCCCCAAACAGAGCCCCCGATCCCCAAGCTCGGCCGAGGGTCGCAATAACACACTAAACATTACTAGAATGAGACAGTTGTGAAATACGCTGACGAAAAGTGTCAGTTGTGTCACAATTTGAAAAAATGTTTGAAGGAATACTGTTCCACTGGTTTATTGTTCTTGGGAAAAAGGATAGGTAGTGGGAGGACGTGTTGCAGACTATAGGTAGGAATGAGTGTTCATGGGTATTTCGAGATCTTCTTAATGCAGGACGAAGAAGATTTGAACAGCTGACTGGTACAAGGCCCTGGACAATTTTGTACATCAGGACTAGACGAGCGTCAATGCGTCTTTCCTCAAGAGAGCGCCACCCAAGTTCATTTAGCATTTCAGTAACACTAGCCAGTGGATGAAAGCGTGCTAGGGTCCATCTCGCCGCTCTGCGTTGAATCATCTCCACTCTGTATGAACCGTTGTTTTCAACTCCGCGTCGGGGATCCCAAACGCTGCAGCAGTACTCTAGCTGGGGGCGTACAAGGCTAACATAGGCCTTTTGCTTGAGTTCACAAATTTTTACCCTCAGATTTCTTTTCAGAAACCCTAGAGTACGGTTTGCTTTGGCAGTAACATTGCTGATGTGAGAGTTCCACTTTAAATCGTGTGATAATTGTACTCCAAGGTACCTGGCACTTGTGACGGACCTGAGGACTTTGCCGTGGAGAGTATAGTCATGATGGATCACTGATTTCTTGCGCGTTACTCGTAGGACTTCACATTTGTCTGAGTTAAACTCCATTAGCCAATCATTCTCCCATGATTGTAGGTTGTCTAGGTCTGATTGTAGTTGAGCGCACTGATCTTCTGAGTGAATTGCCAGATACATAATTGTGTCGTCAGCAAAGAGATGTACATTGGATTGAACGTATTCCGGGAGATCGTTTATGTACACAAGGAACAAGATTGGACCGATAACGGAGCCTTGAGGAACACCAGAGAGGACTGGGAGATATGGGGACTGTTCTCCATCGACTACAACGCACTGCTGACGACTATCAAGGAAGCACGATATCCAATGCAAAATATCACTTCGTACACCATAGAAGTCCAGTTTTGCTAGGAGCTTGTTATTGCAGACCTTGTCAAAGGCCTTTGAAAAGTCCATGATTACAAGATCTGTCTGCGCTCTCGCGTTAAGGTTTGCTTGAAGAGTTGTTGTAAGCTCAAGCAACTGTGTCTCACAAGATCGACCGCGTCTAAAACCATGTTGCAGCTGGTAAAGGACATTTTGTAGCTCGAAGTGTGTCGTCATGTTAGATGTTATGATATGTTCCATCAGTTTACTGCATACGCAGGTAAGTGATATTGGGCGGTAGTTTTTTGGGGAGTCCTTTTCTCCTTTTTTGTAAACTGGTGTAATTAAGGCCAACTTCCAGTCATCAGGGATAGCATGATTGTAGAGCGAGGTGGTGAATATCAATTGGAGAATGGGTGCTATAGATGGAGCTAGTTCTTTTAATACTCGTGGTCTGATGCCATCGGGTCCTGCAGCCTTGTGTGGTTTAAGATTTTGGAGAAGTCTGGTAATTCCTTCAACACTGATGTGAATATCTGGCATGTCTGGATACGGGCTACATGTATGATGAGGAAGGCAGGAATTGCCAGGTGCAGAAGTGAATGTTGAGTAAAAAGTGTCATTTAATAGTTTTGCTTTGTCTACAGCACTTGTCACCATTAGACCATTGTGTTTCAAAGGGGGCATACCAGTTATATCGGATCTTGAATGTTTGATAAATGACCAGAAGCGCTTGCTGGCCTTATATGTGTCGGTACTGTCTAGAGGAGTAATGACATCTTCGATGTATAGCCAATATGCAGCCCGCAATTTCTTCTGCACCAGATGTTTCAACTTTTTGTACGTTGGGTCTTTCTTGGCGTGTAGTTTATCTCTCTTTTTCATTAGTCGTTTGATTTCTGTAGTCATATAGGGGAGCCCATTTCTTCGCTTTGCAGATTTGGAAGGGATGTATTTCTTGATGCTCTTTTCAAGTTCAAGTTTAAATGAATCCCAGAGCTAGTTGGCAGATTTACCAGGGTCTAATAAGTTTATACTGACAAAGGACTCGCTAAAATCATTTATGTGTTTGCGTAGACCAACCCAGTCCGCTTTATTATATAGAAATAACTTCCGAGGCTTTTGTTTGTTTACTATGGGGTTGATATCTCCTTCAACATACACAATATCATGGTCGCTCAAACCTGGGATAACTTTAACTGTGTTGATCAGTGAGTCGTTATTTGTGATGAAAAGATCTAAGGTATTTGCTCCCCTTGTAGGTGTTGTGACCATTTGTGTGAAACCACAGTCATCAATCAGTTCCACCAGGCGTGTTGTCAAGCTGGGATATGAACAATTTGGCTTCAGGCAATTATTGAGCCAGTCATAACCTGGGAAATTCATGTCACCAGCAATCCAAATATGCGAGCTAAGATTGTGCACTAATTGCACAGATTTTACAAAGTTTGCCAGGCTGAGCTCATTTTCTTCATGGGGATTGTAGTATGCACATATATGTAAGCTTTTACATCCAGCGATACATATTTTTACCCACAGTATTTCGCAGTCTGTTTCCAACTTGTATTCTCGAGAACACACCAGATCACTTGAAACTGCGATAAAAACACCACCTCCCTTGGTGTGCTCCCTGTCTCGTCTGAATACATTGAACTTTTTTGCTATATCAGTTTATATATCCTAAATTCCAGCAGATTCGTGGCTGTCTGTTTATATAATTAGTTTTCTTCGTTTAATTACTCCTCCATCGCTTTTGGATATAAACCCTCCTTCATGCCTGATATATTTTTTGGTTATCTCCATCCTTCACT